AAATAAGGGAAAAGAAAAAAATACGAGAAAAGGAAAAAATGGAAACAAAGTCTTTTAAATAGAGAAGGGAGGAGGGGGTGAAGGGAGGGCAGGGGAATGGGGGAAAAATGAGAACCAAGACCTGTCATGTAAAGGTACAAGATCCCAAATGATGAATGTAACTGTACTGTACACCTAAAATGTACCAATAAACTCAATGAGAAAAATGTCCATACGGAGCATGGACATATGAGGTGGGGGTGTGTTATTCGATTCCAAGTATTGAGGAGTTGAGCGGTGCCCAACAGGTGCATTCATTGCAGTAGTATGCAACTGTGGCATTTAAGGATGATGTGAAAATATTTTTGTTTCAATTTATGAGTAGTATTTCTAAAAATTACTACTAAGATTTTAGGACATAAATATTTATAAAACTGTTGGACCAAACTACTTAAGAAATAAATGGAACGGTTGGGCTTTTCTTCTATGGTCACTATGAAAAGGTTATGAAGGTGTTGAAAGTGGTGTGAACCAAAAATATCTGGGAATCTCTAATCCATGACGCCAAAAGAATTATAATGTCAATCCTTTCATAGTCATAACAGAGATGGTATTTCAAAATTTTTGTCCATAATAAAATCCACTACAATTTATTTTATATAACAAAATTTCCTAATTAATTTCAAAGTTCATAGTAAGGAGTGTGAGTGTGGAATTTGTATTAGTAGTCCTAATAAAAACTAATTTATTAATTATAGTATATTTCCAGAAAGGATTAAAGTGTGATATTTTCTGTATTGAACTATCTCACCTAGATATAATATTGTAATAGTTGTTTAAAAAACTGTTTTGCAAAATACATTTTCTTTGCCAAGGAGTTTTGGATGATACAAAAATAATAACTTTAAGACACTCATCATTAAAATGAAGTTATCCACACAGTTATGTACAGAGTAATTTTTGGTTAGATGATTTAATTCACTTATTTATGCAGTAGATAAGACTTTCCTCCTGACTGTTCCAGTGCTGTTGTAGACATTGGTTAAGAAATCAAAAAGTCAAAGGAAGAAAGTATTTGAAGGAAGAAGTGGCCCTCTGAGAGTCTGGCCTCTCCAATGATACAGAGATGTTACTACAATGAAGACTGAAAATGTCAATTGGATATAGCAACAAGGAGGTCATTGTGACCGCAGCAAAAGTTCTCGGCACAGAGACAAAAGGCGTTGAGGAATCCTACTGGTCATAGAAGTAACAGTGAGGGAATTTGGACAACAATATGAACAACTCTCGGCACATTTTGGAGGAGTAAAAAAGAGAGATATCACTGGCTGAAGTGCTTATCGACTTGAGGATGGATTGAAAATAACCAGACACTTAAGAGGTTAAGCTTGATAAAAAGCTGATGGCAACGGTATGGGAAGTCCAAAAGATTGAATAGAAAGATAAAAGAAGAAAGAAAATGAGGAGAGGGAGAGAAGGAATGAGATTAGATACACGATTAAAAGAATATAAGACTCCTGAAAAGGGAGTAGACTGTAGTGAAGGTGGGAGGATTAGTTTATGGGCAACCTCTCTACTGTAACAGAGCAGGAGAGAGTCGAAGTGGGTTTAGCTTTGGGAAGGCAAGCCAGTCTCCCTTTGATGGTTTTTCATTGAGAAATGAGGTGACTCCTGTTCCGAGAGTGGCAAGAGAAGTTTGAAAAGGGAGAAAGTTTTAAATCAGCAATTACATAATGCTATTGGATGACTTGATAGCCAATTCAACACTCCGATTGCAGACACAGAGAGTAGATTGTTCCATTTTATCTAGTGTTGGCTTTTACCAGATGGAAGATGGGTGAGAGAAAAATTTAGAGGAGTGAGGAGTGTGTCATGTTCAGTGCAGTAGCTGCAGGATCATTGAAATGAAGGGCCAAAAATTCTAAAGCAAATAGTTTGGGAATTGAAAAAGGAGAAAATTGACAGATTCAAAGAAGATGGAGAAAGATCAACGAATAACAAATCCCTAAAGAGTCAGAGAATGGTTGTTGTAAAATTAATTGAATCAGCAAGCTAAGAGGCAAACAGCAAAGAATATAAAAGACAGAAATGAGAGGGGCTCCCAGTAGTACCAAGTTAAGTCAAGAAAATAGCCTAGTTAGATAGGTGGTGTTATTATGTGTTATATAAATTAACATGACACTTTTTAAAACTATGTAGTTCCTAAGGTAAAAATAGCAGATTTTGCCAACAAAATTAGTGGAATATAAGAATGACATGCATTGCAATGTGCAGGTCTGATTAGATGCTTGCTCCCTGCCCTACCACACAGAGCTATGCCTTAGCTATTTACAGTTTCAAGGGTGTGGACAGCAGATTTGGGAAGAGGGATGGCACCCGGAGACAGGATTGCTCAGACTTCACTGCCATGGGGATTAGGACTGCCCTATTAGTTTATCTCATCTGGCATTTTTCACTGGAAGTAAAGTCTGTGTGAGATGCTTGAATTCAGAGAAGCCTCAAAAGAAATAAAGCAGCATTTGCAGCAGCAGCCCCCAGTGGTTATGGGTTCAAGAAGAAAGTTTTGCAAGCAAGGAGAAAATGCTGGAATATTGAATTTCTTCTGAGTATTTCTTCCCTTTCTCCTTTAAAAAAAAAAAAAAAGCCTGAAGCCTGTTTCCTAGTCACTGGAGAAAATATTTGGATTAGTGACGAGTGTGATTTTTGGAGGTGAGATACTTTTTGATGTATATGAGCTATTCACATAAGTCTCTAGCACATTCTCCACTGACTCTTGTTTTATGGATACTAAATGGAATGTGCTTCTCTACAAGATTCCAGCTAGGAAGGACCTGGGAACTTTGCCACCCAAGAAGATTATCACTGTTGATTCTTCTGGGAGCACTTTAAAAAGGAAATTTCTTCTATTGTGTAGGAATGCAAGAAGTTCATAGTTCCTTACTCTTCTGGGTAGATTGTAAACTCTTTTTATATCTAACAGGGTAGTTTTTCAGGGGTGCTTTTCTCAAATTATGGCTGATTCATACTTTTATGATCCTCTAGCAAGAAATCATTCCTTTTGAGTTAGCACTTTAGCTGTGAGTCTCATGGTGTTTATTATTTGCTACCTTGAAATATAGTTATTTATGCACACATCTCTTTGTTAAGACTGTGAGCTTTAAAGGAATAGTTGGTTTGGAATGATCATTATGGCCAGCACTTTATTTACTATAATTACTGAACATTCAATTGTTGAGCAAGTAAAGTGGATTCTGCCTGCCACATCCTCTGTTGGCCCCTAAACCCATAGTTGTTTTTGTTTTTACGAGTACATGTTACCTACAAGCCTGAAAGTGTACCACCCATTCAATGCTAGTGTTGTAGTCAGTGTGTTATCCTATATCATACTGTACCAGTGCTATGTACTCTTGAAGATCACTTGTAAATGAATTATGAATGCTCTTACATTGGCTCGTTGCTTAAACCTCTGGTAGAGAGGGAATGGGTCAGTAAAGACATGAACTTAGGAAAACAAACCCCACTCAAGCTAACGCCATAAGTTCCTTCAAATAATGTCTTTTGTGGAGAAGTCTTAAAATTACAGAAGATGTTATTCCATACATTGCATATATTGCACATAATGGACACTGCTAAATATATTTTAGTGAACAAGAATTGATGCTGATGGAGGTAAAGTAAAGCAGACTAAAAGTATCACATATATCTTATAATTCAGAAAAAAAAAAACCAAAAAAACCAAAAAAACATCAAAGCTGCCTTCACATTTCTGTGGGAAACAGAAATGCCGGGGAAGTCCCACAGACTTGCCAGGGAAGTCCTGATACTATTACAGGATCATTCTGTCGGAACAAATTCTTGATTATGATAAGGGCTACTATCAAAAGTCATTCATTTTTAAAATGTAGATACTTATTTCAGAGGAAGAACTAACCAAACCTTGCGATGCATGGCATGGACTGATGATGGAATCAGGAGTCTCTCGATTGCCAGCGTAGTGGAGTGTTTCTGAATACCCCTTGGAGGTCTGGAGAGAACTAGTTTGTAGGTATAGAAAGAGAAGATTCACTTTGGCTTTGGATATGTTGAAAAAAGGAGCTGCTAACCACAAAGCACTGGAAATAAATGATAAAACTTGAGAGGAAGTTCGGACTCAAGAAAAGTTCAGAAGATACTTGCATGGAAGTTATAGTTCAAGCTCTGAAACAGAGGGAAAAGGGCAGAGTCAGAAGTTTAAGAGAGAATCATGGGGAATATTTTCATTAAGGTCTTAAGGAGTAGCATATGGTGAGTTATGCCCTCTGCTAATGTTTTTAATAAATAAATCCCCAGACATTGTTTCTGGTGAAAGATTAAACTGAACACATTTGAAAGCATTTGATGATAGTAAATTTATGTGAACAATCCTGTGTTGCCTCATGATGCTGTCACAGTGGAGGGGACCAGGGACAGTGTGGACTGCTGAGCGTGTCCTCAGGGCTGTTAATGTCTAATGGGCAAACAGGACAGTCTTTCACTGTTCATCCTGTCACTAAATACAACTGAGTAACTTTTAATCCTGTTGAATATTGATGACTGAAAGTTTATTTTATCTAGATTCATGCCAACTTGGGTTAAGACTAATGAGACAAATAAAAATGACGTGTGGTTAATGTCCTGTCTCTACCTACTCACCAATATTTTATCTTCATAGCCAATCTTTGCTTATAGCTCTGGGACAGGGTGAATTCTTGCCATAGTGATTAATAGCTCTTTGGAATAATACCAGACTGGTAAAAAAATCAGGCTGGAATACCATTAAAAGTCTGTTTACTATGGAAAAATGTTTCAGAAATAGAAGACCTGTTGTTTTGTTTATTAGTGTGATTTGGTGACTAATCGCATTTCACACCCTCAAGTACACGCAGTAAAATCTCTTAGGAAAGCTCATGCTCTCAATGGAGAGTTGTAATCTAAAATTTATACCATGCAGTGCATTGCTTTGTAATATTAAATCCATGTTTCACTTTCTTCTCCTACTTTAGGTCTTGGGAGTGGATGACAGGGACATGGGGGATGGCTGCTCTCAGAAGCTGGCGACTGTTAATCTTCTCCGCTTCCTGTCACTGGTCCTGATTCCATGTGTCTGTGCTCTTGTCGTTCTACTGGTGATCCTACTCCCTTTTGTTGGTGGGTAATATCATTACTTAAGAGTCACAAAGTCAGAACTGAAATTACCATACTTTTTAGTGGTGATCACGACTTACCAATTAGTTAACCAGAAGTATCAAATAATAAGAGGATTAGCTGTGGACCTCTTAGGATAATATGTCAGTTTGGCCACTGTAATCATCTACCGGATATTGTTTTTAATATTAATTAGTTAAAGTCATTTAAGTTGTGATAACTAAATTAGTCCTTTCTTATTCCAACGGCCAATAAATATGTGAATATTGCTAAATATCTTTACTCATCAGAGAAATACAAGTAAAAACTACAAAGATATTCTATCTCATCTCAGTCAAAATGGCTATTACCAGACACGAAAAATAGTAATTGTTGGTGAGGATGTGGAGGGAAAGGGGCCCATATACACTGTGGTTGAAAATATAAATTAAGTACATCCACCATGGAAAATAGTATAGAGGTTCTTCAAATAACTCAAAATAATACTGCCATATAATCCAGTAATATCATTCCTGGGTATCTGAAATGAGATCCACATAAAAAAGAGATACTGCACACCTATGTTTATTGCAGCACTATTCACAGCAGCAAAATTAGGAACCAGCCTAGGTGTCCATCAACAGATGAATGGATAAAGAAAATAACACACACATGCGTGCAGTGTGCACACAATGGAGAGTTATCGACCCACAAGGAAGAAAATGAAGCCATGTCATTTACAGGAAAATAGAACTGGATGGGAATCTCCATGTTAAGTGGAATGATAGGCACAGAAAGACAAGTATTACATGTTTTCTTTCACATGTGAGAATTTAAAAAAGGTCACCTAAAAGTAGAAAGTAGAAGAGTAACTGTTAATGGAGGGGAAGGGAACAGGGAGGAAGAAGGCGAGGGAAGTGTAAGAGGGCAGAAAGGAGGGCGAATATGATCAAACCCAATATATGCGTGTATAGAAATGGGTTTTGCAGTAAAACTCATTACTTTGTATAATAAATATGTGTTAATAAATATTATAATAATAAAAACTAGTCCAGGGGCTCACTAGAAAGTAGAAGAGTAACTGTTAATGGAGGGGAAGGGAACAGGGAGGAAGAAGGCGAGGGAAGTGTAAGAGGGCAGAAAGGAGGGCGAATATGATCAAACCCAATATATGCGTGTATAGAAATGGGTTTTGCAGTAAAACTCATTACTTTGTATAATAAATATGTGTTAATAAATATTATAATAATAAAAACTAGTCCTTAGGGGCTCACAGTTGAGAGGAAAAGTGATTATTATCACACAAGGTGACATACAATGAGGATAGAGATATATAAAGGTGCTTTGGAGGAAGTCAGATAAGCCTTTATGAGAGGGGTAACACTTTAACCTTTAGTACTAAGCTAACAGACATACTGTCAGAAGGCAGTGGCTCATTTGGCAGAAAAAATGCCAAGTACAAAAGCAAAACCACGTGACAGAAGGAGATAGACTTAGGGAACTGGGTAAAAATTGGGTAATTGTGGGAACATGAAGTGATTGATAAACTCCAAATAACTTGAGATCTTGCATGTCATAGTAAGGGGTTTGGGCTTAAGCATCTATTGATCATTTGTTTTCACATTCTATCCCATGGAACTGAACTTTTGAGAAGGAGGCTCAATGATTGAATAATATTTGGTTGAACTTTCATTTTTAAAAATAGATTTTAAAGACACACTCTAAGCATCACCTACCAAAGTTTAGCCGGGCAGAAATCAGCAACCAAGTAATATATGTGACAGGTTAATTTACTTGTATATGTCTCTTACTGTCTCTTTTAAGTGAACAGTAGTCTAAAATGAAAAAGTGAACTCTTGGGAAGAAATAACAATTACCACTGGTAGCTGCCTAGTGAGTAGTCAGGATTCTTCTTTGGATGCATGCAGTCAGCAAGATAAATAAGTAGCACCATGATGCTGATCTAATTGCACTGATACTGATTTTGAATTTTTTATTGTATTAAAACCATCTATTATATTCTCATTTATTGGTTTCTAAAAGTTATACATTTAAAACTTACAAAGCAAGTTACAGTAAAATAAGGTTCCTATTTATTGCAGATATTAGGATCTTACATGCTATTTTGAAAACAATACATTTTTCCCTTTGTGTACATGGGGAATGGCATCTAAGACCTTTTTGGATACCAAAACCCACAGATGCTCAAGTGCCTGAAATAAAGTGATGTAGTATTTGCATGTAACCCATAAGCATCCTTTCAAAATCATCTCTAGATTATTTATAACACCTTAGTACAATGGTAATGGTACATAAATAGTTGCTATACTGTCTAGGGAATAATAAAATATAAAGTCAGTACATGTTCAGTGCAGATGAAACTGTTTTTGCCCTCAATACTTTCCATTTATAATTGGTTGAATCTCTGAACATGAAAGGGGGATTGTCTTTATCTGCTACAAAAAAATGCTTGAAAAATCACTGCTATGGATGGTGGGTCACCAATGGAAAAGCTTCCCCAGCGAGGAGAAATCTGATCATATTTGTATGCAAAAAACTATGGAACCAGACACTGAATTAGAGGCAAAAAGAAAGAAAGGCGGGGAGACAAGTTTGGTAGTCTGGCTAAATAAAAGGTGTGGAAAATTTGAAATGAGGCACTAAATCATATTGACTGGATTTTGGTGAGGAAGAGGAGAAAAGAAAATCAAGGCTGACTCCTGGGTTTCTGGCTACGAAGGTGATTCACCAGGTGATTCTGGTGCCATCTGTGAATGTAGAAAGTAAAGGCTGAGGGTGGGCACAGTGGACATTTGGTTTGTAAGTTAGAGATACTGTGGAGCACCCCAGAACAGTGGAACTGTACTGTAAGTGCATTTGTCTCGAACAGTTCAACTGTGCAGTTCAACTGGGCCAAGACTAGAACTCAAACATGTTGCCTTCCTAAGGGAATTTGAAGAGAAACCCAGGTGATTTGTGTTATTTGAATTATGTGTTGATCTTAGAATTTAACTCCAGTCCACTGTTAGGATCTGGAGCTAGAGACACCAAGAAGAGAAGCTGAGGCAGGAGCCCCGACTGGAGTTAAAGACATGGAGTCTCAGTGGTAGCTGAAAGAGCAGGCGTCGTTAAACTGTGAAGGCAAAATGTACTGGTTAAGAGCTAAGAGCAAAGCAATGGGGGAAGCTAGGGCTTAAGGATAGACCTGGAAAGAGGAGAAAGCAGGAGATAGAGGAGAACTGGTCAAAAGGGACTGGGAATTTGGGGTTTTGTGGGTCCCAGGGAAGGTGAGACACATCAGAGGACAGAAGGTGACCAAAAGGCCCTGGGACAGAAAAATCACCTCATTCTCAGCACCTGTCTTCCCTTTCAGGGCCTTTCTGTAGTTCCTTGTCACTTTATGTTTTGTTAAGGGTTTATAGTTAAGCATCTCTGGAGAGGTCTGACTGATAGGAGCTTCCTTAGTCACACCACTGTCATTTAAAAAAGTTTAGTTTCTCTTGCTACTATGTTCAGTGTTTTGTGAACACTAAGCGTATTTCCTTTCATTCTTGAGGTCTCACATGAATATGAATTTAAAACAGACCTTTAAGTGCCTCAGTGCTTAGGAGCTTCTGAGTCAGAGGGCAGAGGGAGGAATGCTATTAAAGCGATGCTTTAAGTCAGTTAATTTTACTGATTAAATAAAAAATTCACTGCTCTATTGAGATTTCATTTTTAGACCATGTAATTCTATCACTTACGGCGTATGATTCAGTGACCTCCAGTGTGCGTTTACAGATAAATGTAATCATCACCACGGTCAGTTTTAGAACCCTAATTTCCTCAGAAAGAAGTCCTGTGCCCTGTGGCCACCACTGCCTTTCTCCCCATCTCCTTACTCCAGCTCTAAATAACCATAAACTATTTTCTGTCTTTATAGATTGCCCGGTTCTAGACATTTCATATAAGCACATGTGGTCTCTTGTGACTAGCTTCTTTCACTTAGAATAAAGTTCTTAAGGTCCATCCAACTTAGAGTGTGTATCAACATTTCCTTCCTCTGGATGGCTGAATAATATTCCATTGTATGGATGTAATAACGTTTATCCATTCATCAGTTAATGGATATTTCGGTAGTTTTCCTCTTTGGTTTATTTTGAATTACTCTTAATAATTTTATGAATCTAATGTATAAATTTTTATGTAGAATTACATTTTCATTTCTCCTGGGAGTATACCAGGAATGGGTTTTAATATTGCTTATATATGCTCATATATATTTTTTGTAAGCAATCCTCAATGTTATTTTGTTTATATGTGGTAAAAGTTTAGAGAACACAAATCTCCTCATACATCTTCAAAGGCATTCTTTTTTTTTGTTTTGTTTTGTTTTGTTTTTGAGACAGGGTCTCACTATGTACTTAAGACTGACCTGGAACTCACTATGTAGCCCAGGATGGTCTCGAACTCACAGCAATCCTCCTGCCTCAGCCTCCCAAATTCTGGGATTATAGACATGTGCCACTTTTTTTTTTTTTTTTTTTTTTTTTTTTTGTGGTACCGGGGATCGAACTCAGGTCCTTGCACTTATGAGGCAGGCCACTGAACCGCTGAGCTAAATCCCTGGCCCTCAAAGGCATTCTTTTTATAAATTCTGTACCAATAATATCATACAGCCACACTGAAGTAATATCTGCCCAAATAAACATTTCCTATTTTGTAACTGAGATGTTTATTTGTAGTGAACAATACAACTGTTTTATATCTTTGCTTTAAAAAATCTCATTAATTATGCTTATTTTAAAAAATGTTCTGAAGGGAGGTCGGGGACAATGGGAAAAAATGAGAACCAAGACCTGTCATGTAAAGGTACAAGATCCCAATGATGAATGTAACTGTACTGTATACCTAAAATGTACCAAAAAACTCAATTAAAAATGTTCTGTTCAATGGAAATTCATAACTCTGTGGTCTCCCAAACTTATTTTTGTGTCTGTGGGGGCCACTGAGGAATCCTGTGATGGTGATTGTGTACAAATAAT